CCGTAAGTCTAATACAGCACTAATTTTATACATTTCTTGTGAAAGAAACACTTCTTATTCAACGGCCATAAAAATTATTTATATTAATGATGTCTCCAAAGGTCAAGTTATTTTTCTGCGAAAAATTCGTTATCAGAAATCGCGGCCGCCGTTTCGTGTGCTGTTCCGCGACGAAAACAAGCTTTGAACAACGGGCGTAGTCGAACGGTACACACTCGGTAAGTAATCCTATAATTTTTTGTTTATAGCATAGTTTATACAGATTATTCCCAAAAAATTATACGTATTTTGGAAATGTTGAGTGGAATTAGTCTAGAATCGGTTAATTTTATAGAAGAAAACCTTTCAAACAGCCTTAGTCCATAAAGTTTCCACCTATCGGGCTGCGATTGGCTCATGTATTTAATCGTTCCTACAACGTAATTTTCGGTTAGCGTGGAACGTATCTAAGCGTTATAGGGGGGTCTACTGTAAGTTTATTTTATAAACATAACACAACGCAAACAAAATTATTTGAACCAAAAAATCAGTTTTCGCGATTCTTTTGAATTGTTTATTCTCTTAATCTAAATTATTATTACATAAAAATCAGTACAGAGAACTTACCCTCCAAGTTACTATAAAAATCAAAGTAATATTTTGGGACTACATTTTTATCGATTAACTGCAACAGTCTGGCCTTTTTAGCCTGTTATGCCAGTTAACTGTTCAAACTTTGATGAACTATGGACAATGTGACAGTGTTCCCCCAATGGCTAGATCAGGTTTTGATAATTCAACGCTGACATAACTGCTCCCTAGTGGCCGAACACTCAGGTTACTTCTGTGACACACTTCCACAAAAATTTACTACATTTTCATTTTGGTTATGATATAACTCAAAAAGGTGAGATTTTTTGATTCTGCCAGTTTTCTTCCAAAGTAGCGATATGAATTAACACTTATTTTACATTCATCTAGAAAAATAAAACATAATTATTGATAATATGGAGCCAGAAATTCATGAAGTTATAATTGCCCAATAAATTGATAGTGATATTTAAGCTAAAATCAGACATCATAAAACATATCAGTCTGTAATTAATGTATTTAGTTTTTTTGTTTATAGATTGTTTTTAGCAATAAAATTACATCATAATGTTATGATGTTAATTTACTCTGTTCAGAAATTTTTATATAGTTTAATAATGAACAAAATTTATAATTAGAAAAAAGCATTAGATAGCCTAGTTTTTACAATTTTATTAAAAATTATAATTTGGTGATTTTAAAGTTATAAATTTTTCTCTAATAAAGTTTCAAATACAGTATTAAACATATTCAGGTAATTGTTATTGCTCTTAAACATCTGATTTATTGTTTCATACATTGAGAAATGTGTCTTACATAAATATGCATTTTTGTATGGAGCAGACACAGTAGTAGTAATCGGTTAGGATTTTTAAGCATTTTGATTCTTGACTCAAAGTTTATGTTTAAAAGAAGGGGTGCAAGAAAATGCATGTAATAATACATCCCAATATCCTGGCACACTATAGATGCTTCATTGCTGCACTGAGACATTCAGACTTTAAATTTTGTACTCTTTGTCATCTGACACACTTTTAGCCATTGCTTACAAATATTGGTATTTTTTTATCACTCCAAATTGAGTGCCTTGTTCAGATCCCCAAGGAAGATTCTTTTTCTCCATTTAAAAATCTATTATTAAATATTTTCTATGCATTATTTATTATTCAAAATATTAGAGAAATTGTATGACATTGTATCATAAGCCTTGATATGTTTCTCATTACAGTAGAACCCCTCTAGTCCGCCCTCGGCTAGTCCGTCACTCCGATTAATCCGACCGTGGTTGGAGTCAAGAAACTTGTCCCGACTCGTCGGTGACTCACTGTCCGTGGCGTTTTTCTGTGTTTGTTACAGTATATGTTTTACATTGTGTGTACATGTACAGTTTTGTGTGTGTTTTCAACATGTCAGGAGTGAAACGTAAACACGTTACTCTTTCATTAAATGAAAAATTAGCAGTGCTACAAAGACTGGACAAAGGGGAAGATTGTTTATTTTACTTTTTTCTGATAATCCGACCTTTTTTGCGTTCCAACCATACCCCCAGTCCCAAAGGTGACAGATTAGAGGGGTTCTACTGTATATATAAAAAGAATGAACAATTTTTTTGTGTAAACCAATATGGGTATACCTACAATGACCATACGTCCTTTATTTAAGAAGACAGTCCTTTATTTCACTGCTCTGTCCTTTAAGTTTATTTATTTTCTGAAATAGGCATTTTGTCCTTTATTTTGTAAAGTTGACGCAAACTTTAAAAAAAAAATTTAATAATATATTGAACAAGTTAGTTTTGTGTACGCCATCACAATCAGTGTTGCATTGTTACATAGAGCGCAGTAGTGCAGTGTGTCGCCAACCAAATGGCCCAGTGACAGTACCAGGGGGTGGACACTCTTATGGGGATTTTTGTGATAGTTTTTTAACTCTCTAGTTGGTGGATGATACACTTGTTAATTAAAGCTAAAGTTAGTTGAAAGAAAAAATGAGGGGTTTCTTCCTATTGTTATTAGAAAAGTGGTCTTAGCATTAGAAAAATCAGAAAATATACAAGCCAAAAAATTCAATGATGCTGTGTACACATTTTATCAAACGTGCATAGATTATCTAAATGATTGGGACATGTTTTTTATTGAAATAGAGGTGTTTGAATGGGTCACATTATGTGAAATCCCTTTGTGGGCGAAGGTAGAGGAAAGCTATATCTTTATTTCGAATCATTGGTCCGTAAATATACTCGACGGTGAATTATTTGATGAAGTTTCATGTGTAAAAAAATATGTCACAAACGAAAAGATCGACGAATGGTGACAGAATAACCAGCCCTGCCATCAAAGGTGGATTGAGATTTTTGAACATTTTACAGCAGAAGAAATTGTTTTCAAAAACGTTTGTAAAATCGTAGAATTTTTTTTGTCTTCCTGGATCTAATGCCCCCGTTGAACGAATATTTTCATTGCTGAATAATATGCGGACGAATGAAAAAACCCATTTAAAAGTAAGCACATTAGAAGCATGTATTTCTGTCAAATACAACTTTCAAATGAACTGTATGGAATTTTATGACTTAAAGTGTGAAACGGCGCTATAAAAAAATTAATTCTACTGAAAAGTATCAAAATTAATGTTATTTAAATTTTTACAATATGTGTATGTGTAATAATTCAGATTGTTTAAAATTTTAATGTATGCATTGTTGTATGCTACTATTTTCATAATAAATGTTATAAACTTATGAATTTTATAAGGTATTTTTTGATTTTCTTCAATATGTCCTTTATTTTCCCCCAAAAAATATGGTCACTGTAGGTATACCTCAAGTTACATTGTTCTTGATTATACGTCGTTTGTCGAAAAAATATATGGAAAAATAAAAATCAAGTTTAAGTCATTTTATTTGACTTTACGTTCATCCACCACAAATATTGAAGTCGTAATATCACTAGAAAAGTGTTAAAAGTGCATAAAATCATATTAAAATATGTACATTTACAGTAAATGTTAATATAATGATAATAAATCCTAGAGAACGAAACATGAAAACATCTATGACTGTGTTGTCTTATTTAGTGGTCTTTAAGAGCTCAATATTGGCGTTTTCCACAGTAGTTTCAATATCTACTGTTTGGCGTCATTGTCCGTGCCACTCGATATTAGTAAATTTAATATAAATTAGTTTATTTTCTACTGTTGCAAGATAATTTTAATAACTGCATTTGTTGTTTAACTTTACAAAATCATCATATTTTATAATATCTTAGAGCAAACTACATTCACAAATAAGAGTCTGCAATGTACTGTAAACATTGCCAAATTGTAAACATGTACAGTACTGTACATGAATTCGTAAATTTAGATATGAAATTAATACAATAAATATCGAAAAACAAAATAATATAAAAAGGAATACAAAATACGGTAATTTCCTGCAATACTGTTACTATATAAAAAATGTTTACACATTTTTTATATAGTAACAGGTAACATTTGTCCGTCAAGCTAGATCTGTAGATCTCACACTTCTCTGTTGTGGATGCAAGCGTTGGCGAGTGTACCTTTGCAATGATTCTGGCCTCCTCCCATTTAACTATGGATCCATCTGTTTGTGCTATTTTTGATAACGCTGTTGCATATCAGCTCTGCAACATCATACTTATGCTCCTTCATCCTCATGCTAAGGTTTCTATTAGTGACTCCTAAGTATTCTTTATCCATTCCTAACTGTTCGTTCTAATAGAAACCTTAGTGTGAGGATGAAGGAGCATAAGTATGACGTTGCAAAGATTGCAGCATATTGTTTTTAGTGAAAAATTTTGGTTCTGTTTGAGAATGGACAACCATTGCGTTAATGTGTAGGATTGCTGATGAATACTGATTCCACTCTTACTGTTAAGCAATACTTTCTCTCCATTGCTAGTGTGTTGGTTTAGGAAGCCATCTCTTGTGACATTTCTACACATCTAAAGTGGGGTCAGACTTAATGAAAATTTTATTTGCTATTAGCATTTCCTGTTTTTGTTTTCTTTATCTCATTCTTACCCATAAAAATAAGGCTTTTGCTTTTTTTGTAATAATTATTATAAAAAAAGTTTTATTGTACCCCACAATTTTAATTTTGAACTATACTCTAAGTGTTTCCTCCTCTCATAATTTATTTTTAAACAAATATTTTCTTTTAATAGAGAAATTTCACATAATTTAACAAAATTACTCCTTTTAAGCTTTTATTATTATTTAAGTTTTGTCTTGTAATATAATTTAAAATTATTGGACTTTCTTTTTGATTCCCTTAACCTCCTGAATGCTATAAAAGTTGTACAAGAGTCCTTGCCAGCTTTTTGCATTAAATATGTTAAAATATAATTATTTTAAACTCTCAGGAATATTTTTGACTGTATTATAAAAAATTTATTATTTTTATTTTTTAGCTGGAACCATATATGGATGAAACTTTTCTGAAGCAAGCTTTTACATTAATGGGAGAGAATCTTGTCCATGCTAAAGTCATAAAGAACAGATACACTGGGTATGTTTTTGTTTTAATTGTAAAGAAAAGATTAAAAATTTTCCAGTTATCAGATAAAGACTTAAAATTCTGTAAAATAATTTTATTAAATTTTTCAATAACATTGAAAAATGTTTTTTGACATTAGCCAAATTCAAGCACAATTTTTTCGTTGGTCAGTTTGAATCCTTAAATAAAGCAAGAGGTGATAAGTATCAGATGTATGTCTAGTATTAATGATAGGTTTGTTGTAGATTTTTTAATATGATGTCATAATTTAAATAAAAGAATACATATAGTAAAAAAAATTATAAACTAAGAATATAAATTTTGATAAATTTAGATTGCCGATGGGCTACGGATTTTTGGATTTTGGTGAAGAACAGACTGCTCAGAGAGTCTTGCATCGCTGTAATGGAAAGACGATTCCAAATGCTTCTCCTGTAAGTATACGTGATTATAAATTTTTTTATATTAAATATTGTTTGTTTCTTCTAGATATAAATCCAAAATGAACAGCTGTGGACTGAAAGAATGGGTTTGCTTGCATTAATAATAGCAATAATTTGGAGTAACTTTCTGTCTCTCTAATAGGCAAACAATGGAATTACCAGATATTCTGTTATGTATGAAGTGTCTGAAGCTGTTTGAAACATAAAGGTTTTCTCTTCTGACTGATTGATAAATCCTTTATTAAATACAATTGATTCAAATGTGATGGAATGAAATTTAAGTTTTGTCCACAGATAATGAAATTCTTTATTTTTTATTTTTTTAGCCCAAGAGATTCAAGCTGAATCATGCAAGTTATGGAAAAGAACATTTACAGCAGTGAGTATAAAATATTTTTTGCAGTTTCTTTTATATATAATAGTAGTTTTATTAGATGTTTAATTTACCTTTTTACATAAATTAATAAGTATTTATAATTTTATAGTAATACAATATTCATTTTAATACAAAATATCACATTTTAAAAAAAAAGTATAAAATTGATAGATTTTGATATTCTGATCATTGTTTTAATTTACAATTCTTTTATGTATTGGAATATTAATTCATAAATTTGATAGATTTGATTTGTTTTAAATAACAAATATTTGTAGCATTAATAATAGAATTTATTTAATTATTATTGTTTTTATTGATGAGAGAATTTTAATTAACTTGATTAAAAGTTTAATTTGTAACTGGAAAAAACTTGCTAAAATTTGAAGAAAAAAAGAATTTATGAATATCTTCTATTCTCATAATGCAAATGTAATCTAAAATGTTTGTTTTTGAGATGTTCAATTACTTCAAAAATATTGTCAATTTTGCATAGAAAATATCTTCATATAATTCTTAGCACTTTCTAAGAACAATTTTAGTAAATACTGTTATCTTAAAATCTTTATGCTAATTTGTTTCAAGTCGTTCATATTGTAAACATTACTGTACATTTTGTGCTTCAATAAAAATGGACAAGAAAATCAGGTTAATAGTTAAGGTAACTAGACCATTCATACCATTTAACCAAATATGTAGAAAGAAATTAAAGTAGAAATGGAAAGTTTGATTTAATACAAAAAAATTAATTTGAAAACTTAATTGTTCTTTGTTACTTAGTTATTAGCATCAGTAATTTTTACATGTAAGTAAAAATAATTAAAATTAGAAAAACATTTTTCTGAATTTTTGTGAAGAGTGATTTGCATATTATATAAATTACATATTAAATAAAGTTTTTAAATGAAAACAGTGAAACTATATTGAAATGTTAAATGATAGTGTTGTGCGTCTAATTACGAAGTGGACCATAAATTAACACAACAAACATCTCCAGATATTAGCTAGTGAATTTATTTGTGGATTCACAAAAAGTAGAACAAAATGATACATGCATTCAGTGTTCAGCCCTGAATTAACACAGAACCAACATCAGGCATCTATTGGGTTGGCAACTAAATGATTTTGGATTTTAAATAAGAAGGAAAATTCAAAATTTTTGCTTAAAAAATGTAACTTTATTCGATTAGTTATTGTCCATTTTTGTCAATGACCTTTTGCCATCTTTCAGGCAGTGTCATAATTCCATGTTCATAAAACTTCTGATTTTTTCCAGCAAAAAACTGAATTAAATGTGGTTTTACATCATCAGCATCATTAAAAATTTTACCATTTTAAGGAGTTCTGCATGGAACGAAATAAATGGTAATCTGAAGGTGCGAGGTCAGGGCTATATGGTGAATGTGACAACATATCCCAACCTAGCTCCAATAATTTTTGGTGAGTGACCAAAGATGTGTGGGGCTTTGCATTATCATGCTGGAAAATAACAATGATTTACCAATTCTGGCCGCTTTTCTTGAACTGCATCACTCAGTTTGGCAAGTTGTTGAACGTACACATTTGAATTAATCATTTGGTTTCTTGGTAAAAGTTCAAAGTACAGAATTCCTTTATAATCCCACCAAACTGACAGCATAATCTTTTTTTTTTTTTTTGGTGAATCTCAGCTTTTGGTGTTGTATGGGCTGGTTCATCTTGCATCACCCACGATCTTTTCCGATTAACGTTATTATAAACTATCCACTTTTCCTCGCCAGTAATCAGTCGTTTCAGAAATGGATCAATCTCATTGCATTTCATAAGTGAATCGCAGATGTTAATGCGTTGTCAAATGAATTTCCTTAACCTGATGAGGGACCCATAAATCCAGTTTCTTGACATAGCCAAGCTGTTTTAATTTTTTTTGAATGCATGTAAGCAATACATTGAGTTTCTGTGCAATCTCACGCGTTGTGCTATGGTGATCTGAATTGATAATGACTTTGATATGGGTATCATCAACTTTAACTGTACAGCCAGATCGTTGAGCATTTTTCAGTAAAAAATCACCAGAACGAAATTTGGCAAACGAATTTTGACACTGCCTTTCTCTCAAGGCTTCATTCCCATATACAGCACATAACTTCTTGTGTGCTTGTGACGCGTTCTTGCCTTTTCGGAAATAATACAATAAAATATGTCTGAAATGTGCGTCTTGTTCTTCCATTTTTAAATTGGGATAAAACGAAACTAAATAACTAATTGATACAAATTTTTTCATGATTAAAGGTGGAAGTTCAAACAACAAGAAAACAATATAGGTTAAGTGCTTTGAACATGATGACAAAGCAAAAAAATGTGCTAAGGCCACCTATTGACAAAATCTGCAATCACTTAGTTGCCAACCCAATAGAAAAAAGCACGTTTGCGAGACAAATGCTGCAACAACTTTTGTAAAGGTGCACGAAGAGAGAGAGAGCACCCCCCTCTTGGTAGTTTTTATTTAGAATAAAATAAAACAAAATATTGTCTGCTGGTCCGAACAGATAGCATGAAGCATAGTGATAAATCATAACAAAATTTTGTTATATTGAAACATGTTTAAAATACCAAAATGTTGGAGAAGTTATTAGAAAATGAAACCACTTGCACCTTTAGAGCAATAAATATAAAGCTTCTTGGGTTCCTGATTCAACTTGGGTTTGAGACCTCAGAGTTGCAAGCCAATGCCTTTATTGCCATAATCATCTGGCCATCTGTTGTCTATAAAAGTTTATCAGCACTGTCTCGAAGAAACAACTAAAATTTTAAGTAGAAGTAATACTGATAATCTCATTGCTCTGCAGAATATCTATTGCAGAAAGAAGTCTGTAATTTTTGATTGTATTGTGTGTATAATCAGAACCTTCTCTACCAATTCTTGAACTGTCACACAACATTCTACTATGCTGTCTGGCACATCTTTTTTATTTTATCACAAAATGATAGGCTTTGTGTCTTCATAATTGCACTTGAAATTGTAATGTCTTTCAAGATTAATATTAAACACAGTTACAATTTCCTTTTTGATAATTATACTGCAATAACAGTACACTATAAACTTTTAAAGCATTAAACGTTATGCTGGAATAGAAAAAAGGTGTTTGTTTATTGTATTTAATTAATTCCAGTAAGCATTTATTTATTTATTTAACTATAAACTAAATTGGCAATTACTAAAATTAATTTTATCAAACATCTATTGATGATGATAAGGTAATTTGTATACTTAGATTTCATCATAATGAATTATTTTCATAAAGGGCTGAACATTTAAGTAATATTAAGCATTTTTACATCAAGATGCATAGCAAAATGGGGTAAGATTCAAAATAAATTTTATTATATCAGTCTTTGTTTTAATGATATTCTACTGTATATATTTTTCTGTGAGAACTTGTATGCAAATATAACCAAATATTTTCATCAAATTTTATATGCAAATTATGAAAAAAAATGTTTTTTACAAGAAACTGTTAATACTACGATGTTGTAATTAAAATGCCTGAGTGAATGAAGATTTGCAATTTTTGTCAAAAAGAAAACACTTTGTTTAATAAAATGAATAGAAAATAAATGAAAAAGTACTTACTAAAATATACACACACTTCAGGAAAAAAAAAAAAAAACAGGAAAAACACAGATTGCTCTGTAAGTTATGGAATGGAATCCTTCCATTTGAATATGTTAAGATTGGGGAAGACACTTTTATTGGATGAAGGTCCAATTGACACAAATCTTTGTAGCAGTATATCTGACACAAATTTTCTATTTATTGAATACAAAATTACTTGGTTATTATATATGTTGATCATATGTATAAAATCAGTATCTGTTTTTCTCCCCACCTTAACCAAATATATAACAAATATATATTGTTGACTTTAAGGTATTTTCTTTATAAACAACAACATAAATTTGGTTTTATTTAAATTTTAATAACTACTAGAATTAAATGTTACACTAACCCAAGTTTAATCACATAACACTGTCTTATTATTATTTATAAATCACTATTTGAATCAGCACAAAATAAAACCTGAAATTATATTCAATAATTGCCTATATTTTTAAATGGTAAATAATAAATTCTGAAATACAGTCATTAAAAAGAACTTTCATTTTACAGTATTAAACCAGTATCCAAAATTACAGGAATTTTGGATAGTGGATGTTTGTGTTATAAATTACCACAAGCATATAGAGCAACGTATATTCTTTTAATGCATGATTTTTTTTTCTTTTTGGAATTATTCTTAACAGTTTGAAAAATGGCATCATTTTTCATAAAAATAATATTTAGATATTGTAGAAATTGGTTGTTTAGCAGATATTCTTAATATTTCATACTTTTGGCATTTTAATGATAACACTTTTGAGAAAAGACTGTTGTTTATTCTGTATTTCGTAGTTTTATTTTAATTCACTTACATAGACATATAGATAGATAAATATAAATGCATATTATTATACAGTACAATCTTTTCAAGATATAAATAAAATTACACAGAATTTTTTACAAAATCAGATTAGTTTAAATTAATGATTACATATTTAAATTTATTATAAGCATATGTAAATTTGGTTAGTTTTCAATATAGGTTATTTGAAAAGTGTAAGTTTAATCTTATTCTTTTTGTAATCCTCTATTAATGATTTAAATTAATAAATTTGTATAGTGTTTTTATATTTGTATTAATTAAGTTTCTGGACAAAGAATAAAATTGACAATGAATATTTATTGTATCAGTGATTTATTACCAAGAATTGTATTTAGTGGCACTGTATGTATAATGTTTAGATCTAAATAACATTGATAATCTTTATCAAGAATAATGCAGTGGATTAAAAATAGACAAAACAAAAATAATAAATTGTTTTTCAATCTAGCATGGATTTAAAATTAACAAAAAATAGTTTGATTGCTTTAATTTCTAATCTGGCTGGCTTAACAAGCTAAAATACATTATGAAAGAAAATGT